GGGTTAGGGTTTAGGGCTCCAGGGTTTGGGGCTTCAGGGATTTTAAGGTTTTAGGGTTTTAAGTTTAGGGTTTAGGGTTTAGGGGTTGATGATGTAAATCCTGGGCCTCTTTTATGGGGATCTCCACAGAATTTAGGTTGCTTTCGCTTACCTTCTGAAAGGAGTAGAGTATCACAATACTGTTGATGATATAAATCCAGCATTACCTTAAGGACCCTAAACTATGGGAGTTATGGTGTATTCCTGATTATGGAAATTATGGTAAATTCCCAATTATGGGTAATGCAGGATTTATACCATCAACCGTACTACTCTTGATTCAGGCTTCTACATTTGGGTTTTGTCAAAACGTGTTTTAGGGTTGAGGTTTAAGGGTATGTATGTGTGTGCAGATATATATATATATGTATATATATATATGTTCAGGCTTCTGCATTTGAGCTTTGTAACAAAATCAAAACTGCCACCAAGTGTTTGCCTCGCCTACGACGACAGTGACAAGACGTCCAATCGCATGACGACGCGTTTTTTTTCCAGTTAGCTTCGCGGCTGTAAACCTAAAACCTAGACCCTCAACCAGAAACTCGAAAACCTAATTCCCAAGCCCTAGACCCTAAACTTAAACCCTGCACCATGAAACCTTAACCGCAACCCTAAACCCTCAAGTCTAAACCAAGTCCTCAACTCTCAACCCAAACCTCAAACCCTAAACTCTAAGCCCTAAACGCATAGATCGCTTGGGGCACGGTGCCTTGTTCTCGAGGAGCAGAGCAACCACGCTATGGTGACCCTGCTCCTCGGACTCTGCGAGGTCCGGATTCGGTGCTTTCTGAGAAGGGTTTCTCTATAAGGGTTTGGGGATCCAAGTTTTTTTTGTAAAAGTGGGATTAGGGTTTAGGGTTTAGGGTTTAGGGGTTTAGGGTTTCAGGTCTAAAGGTTCCTCTTAAAGGGGCTCCGCTGTTCCTTCAAGGCTTAAGGTTTCTATGGAGGCTTCCTTTTACATGGGTTCCTCTAAGGGCTCGTTTCGGGGTTGCCTTGAGGGGGCTTTTAGGCCTTCGCACTTTTAGGGTTTAGGGTTCAGGGGTTTAGGGGTTTAGGGGTTTCGGGTTTTTAGGCTTAGGGCTCGGCCCGCCTGCGGCATATTTTTAGGGACCATCACACTTGGAACGGGGTCCTTCAAGGGGTTCTCTACAGGGCTCTATAAGGGTAACTAGCAAAAGGCCACAAATTCGGGGTGTTTAGTTTTTCGAGGCCTCAATTGCTAGAATCAGGTTTGCGGGATATTATCTGTACCCCTAAACCCTAAACCCGAACCCACCGGTTCGACTTGTGCTTAAAGTCCTAAAGACAAACATCATTTTAATCAACCTTGGAAGCACAAGGACAGTAGAGCAACGATCTTAACTTGTACGGGCGTTTTATGTGATTAACTACAGTAGCAATGACAATACTTAAGCAAACACAACACTAAGAATCATGATGATTATACTAATTGTTTAACGAAGGATTAATCACGATAACTTATCACCACAATACGAGTAGTCACTCATACAAATCTACAAACAAAAATAACAATACCAGTCATAAGAAAGATGAGAAGAAGACTAAAACCCTAAACCCTAATACCAAAAATAGAAAAAACTCAAAAAAAAAGGCAAAAAGCCAAGGTGCCGCTGCTTCCTGCAAGGCGCTCCTCTCGAAGCGGCCGTCGAAGGAGAAGCCCTGCACATTGGCATTGTACCTGCGTGAGGGTTTAGGGTTTAGGGCTTAGGGTTTAGGGTTTAGAGTTTGGGTTTGGGGTTTAGGGTTTGGGGTTTGGGGTTTGGGCACTGTGGATTCCATTGTCTGTTTCGGTGGTTTGCAGGGGGCATGGCGCTCTCTGGGTAGGTTAAAGATCTTGTTGAGCTCTAACATCGGGGCCTACATGCCTAGAACGGTTCGGGGTTACATTATCGCGTATATGGACTACAATGGGGTCCTACTACTAATAAACTATTCCGACCCCAGTATTAGCTTGAGAGTCAGAGGCTCAGGGCTTTCAAGCTGCTGAAACGGTCCAACTAATCACCAACTATGGTGCACTGGCAATGCAACTGCCGGGAAGATCCAATTAAAACACTGAAAATGCAGTCCGGTGCAGTGTGCTACGATACAATGATGCTGGACTGTAATACAAGGAAGCCAAGGAGTGTAGCACAGAATGAGTCACCAAGAATTTCGTCGTAATGCCCCTTAGGGCCCCGTACTAAATTCCTTGCATAGAGCCAAACCAGGAACCCTCGTCTAATTACGAACCCTAAACCCCTGCAACCCCATAGAACCCTACAGAACCTCATGAAAAAAAATATGGGGAAACCTTATCGCACCCTATAGAGGCTCTATGATGGCCACCTAAACCCGTGGCAGCCAAGGCACTTAAGAAGTGTCGCGCAAACGTCGGCATGACCCTCGCCAGCCGCCACGGACAGTGGGGTCCAGCCCTTGTCACCCCCATCATCTGCATCTGCACCGTGCCTTAACCTGGAAGGTCTCTCTCAGAAGGGCTCGGGTTAAGGGTTTAGGGCTCTGTGGGTCCTATGGGTTCTATGAGCAGTTTTTGCTTGGGCTTCGGGTTTTGAGTTAACCTGTCGGAGCTCCGCTTATCTGCACTCTTCCTCCAAATACCAAAAAGAGGCTTATAGGGATCTATAGTAGGGTCCCCCGTTAAGGGTACTATAGGAATCTCTATTCGGGTTCCTATATATATATATTATATATATATATATTGATTGATATTGCTCACAAATGCAAGGAGCAAGGAGTCGCAAATAGGGGTGTGACCTTCGCGCGATGCTACCAAGAGGGGCGTGGAGCCATTCTTGCTCAAAGCATCTACGTTGGCCTTTGCGTTCAAGAGAAGGTCGCAAACGTCCGGGTTCCCGAGGTAGCAGGCTTCGTGCAAAGGCGTGTAGCCATAGGAGCCCTTGGCGTTGATGTTTCCGCCTTTCTCGATGATCAACTTGAGAACCGTGATGCGGCCGCTGTGTGTCGCTTTCTGCAGAAGGGTGGCACCCTCTGGATCCTGGCTTCTTCTTAAGAGGAACTTAGTTCACGCTTGGAAAAAAAACAGACGAAGCATACTCTTCACGTTCCATCCCTTCTACGGTGGCTTAAACTACACCCCCTAACCCTTATCAAAACCCTCATAAATCCTTTCAAAGCCTTGATAGTACAGCCCTGCAAAAAAAAAAGAAAAACGCTATGACACCGTGTGCCACCACATAAAACCCCATCAACCGCAATCAAGAATCAAGCCACCCTAAACCCGACTGCGAATCCCCAAAAACCCTCAACCCTTGTAGATCCCTTAACTTCAAGGAACCCCTGCAGATCCCTTAACGGGAACCCTCAAAGGAGCCCTGAACGGAAGCCTAAAAGGAGCCATGAAGGTCTCGAAGCCAAAAGAAAACTGCAACAACTCCGACAAGACATCAGAAAGCCAGGGGGGGGTTAGGGTTTAGGGCTTAGGTGTTTAGGGTTTAGGGGCTTGGGGTTTGGGGGGGGTTTAGGGTTTAGGACTTTAGGGCCCTCTCAAACCCAATAGAAAAGAGAAAGGCCATTGCAGACCCGAAACTGAGAGAAACCCTAAGCCCGAAACCCCAACGATATCCGAAACCCTAAACCCTAAACCCCCAAACCCCTAAACCCCTAAACTCCTAAACCCTAAACCCCAAACCCCTAGAAAGAAAGGACCCTAAAACTAAACCACTAGAAAGAAAGGACTCCAAATCCTAAACCCCTACAAAAAGAAGGACGCGATGGTCCCGAAGCTTCACGCTCATGCCCTGGGAGAGCAAAATCCACACGCACTCGG